GGGTCCACATGCTCCAGGTCTGCTGAGCTGAGTCCAGCAGGACCATCTGTCCACGTCTTTGTTTGTCCATCCTTCCCCAGCTCTGCAGGACTGGCCCTGGTGCCCTCCTTTTCCCAAGGGAAGGGGAGCAGTTTCTAATGCAGCTGCTCTGTCATCCCCCAGCTTGCTGATACCCTCTGCACCTCCCTCAGTGCATTCCATACCCTCAGCTTTGTACAGGAGATGGAGCACGGGACGGCCCCACAGCCTGGCAGGGCTCATGTCCCAACTCTGAATTCCTCCTGGCCCTGACAGAGATCCTGTACAGTTTAGAGGTTGGGTTTTTTGCATCATTAAGAACAGTAAACCAGTAATTCAGAAAAATATTTTGGAGTCAGAGCAGGTTTGTTGTTTGTTTAAGAACTTTTAAAAACCTGGGGTTAATTGGAACACCTGAATTTCTGGATTCTGCTAAAGGGCATGATGCCAGCTGTCCTGGGAAATGGTGAGCCTCACCCCCAAATCCCCAGGGGACCTGCCACCCCTCGGCATGTGAAGCACCCTGTCTGCTCACAGCCCTCAGTGTGAGCCCTGGCTGCAGTGTGGGGGTGTACTGGCATCCCATTGTGTCTGTGCCCCCCACAGCAATACTTCATCCTCCTCATCATCACGGACGGGGTGATCAGCGACATGGACGAGACGAGACACGCCGTGGTGCAGGCGTCCAAGCTGCCCATGTCCATCATCATCGTGGGTGTGGGCAACGCTGACTTTGCTGCCATGGAGTTCCTGGACGGGGACAGCCGGGTGCTGCACTCCTACACTGGCGAGGAGGCCGTGCGCGACATCGTCCAGTTCGTGCCCTTCCGGAATTTCCGCAACGTGAGTGAGGGCAGCGGGGAGCTGATCACGGGGGGAACGAGGTGTCACACCTGGGAATCGCCCTGGAAGTGGAACAACCACGGTAGAGGCAGACAGAGGCGAGAGGTACCTGTCTGCCTCGCTCTGTCTCACCCTCAGGGATGCTCTGGCATGGCATAAGTCAGCGCTGCAGGGAGGGGTAACTGTGCTCTGCAGCTCTGCAGTGGGCTCCACCTGCCCCTGCCATGTTTCTCCACCCTGTGTCATTGTCAGACAGGTGGGAGCAAAAACCAGTGACTCAGAGCAGGATCTGGGTTCCTGCAGCAGGGTGGGGCAGCACTGGGCTCACGTCCCTCGCCACAGTCCTGTGCTGGTTTTGGTGACTCGCACTCAGGCCTCATCCGGCACCCCTGATGTGCCACACACCAAGGCTTTGTGCTGAATTGTCCTGAGAAGGAGCCCCATATCCCCTGATCCCTGGGAGGAAGGGGCAAGGTGGCACTGGCCCTGCACGTCCCCTCTGTGGGATGGTTCCATTGCAGTCATCCAGGAGACAACTCTGGGACAGAAGCTGTTGCTGGCACAGGATTGATTGCCAAGGATGGAGCTTGTGCTTATTTTCCCTTTTTTTTTGCAATTAATCAGTGTCTTTCTATTTCACTTCCTGCCACTCATATATGTTTTTTCTGACCTACCCAGGATGTTTTATTGCTCTGATCCAGTGAATTCTCTCCTGGAGGAAGGGTTGTGTAGAATATAATAGTTCCAGGTGTATAAGATGCTGGCTATCAATAGACTTCAGGAGGTATTAAATGCCAAAGTCTGGAGCTTGTTGGCTTAGTTGGTCCCCTGTGGCTGTCCTAACACTGGTGTTGGTTCCCTTTGGCTAACAGGTCCCCAAGGAGACCCTGGCCAAAGCTGTGCTGGCAGAGCTGCCCCAGCAAGTCGTGCAGTACTTCAAGCACCAAAACCTGCCACCCATCAACTCAGAGCCCGCGTAGAGCTGTGCCAGGCTGCACCCTCTGCATGTTGCCGAAGCTTGTTGGTCCTGCCAAAAGCACGTTCCACATGCTTTTAAGAGAAGAATACCCTCCCTGAAACACTTTGTACTTCTTAATTTAATTGCTAAGTTCTTAAGACTCATCCCAGCAAAGTGTCTGGATTCGTTTTGTACAGTCTTGGCCCAAGGTAACGCTAAGCAGCCAGGCCATGCCTTGGTCCTGCTCTGTTGAGTCACTTTTCAGTATTGAATGTACTTTGTATAATTTCAGTGGTACAGGATACGATTTTTATGATCAAAACTTGCTTTTTCCAAGCAATGAAATGCTTAATATATTATTATCATTCAATGAACTGGTTGTTGTATAGTTCATGTATTTGTGTTGTACCTGTACACCTGTCAGGTTCTGTGTTCATTTTTATACTGTGTACATGTTATATTTGTTATACTCAGGTTAATAAAGAAACTTGGACATTTAAAACAGGAGTCTCCTAGATGGGAAGGTCTGGGAGCACGCTGTCAGCAGTGCTGGGTGTTTGGAGTCACCCTGACAGGGCTGTCCTGGTCCCTCACTTGCTCTGCTGGCTGTGCCCCAGGATCAGCCCCACACTGTCAATGGCAGCATCCCAGAAGGAGATTTAGTGAAGGTGGATATCCTGGGGAAGGCAGCACGCCCCTAATGCCTGACTGAGCTGAGTCTGTGTGATTGGGAAAACCCTGGTGACCCCACAACAAACCATCAAAGGGAGTATCATGGTTCACTGCTGCTTCAACTCCAGAAAACTTTCAAGTCTAGAAAATTTTCCAAGTCTGAGTAACAAAAGCTCCCTGCTGCCTGGAAGAAAATGGGCTGGGTAATGAAATCCTGCTCTCCAGCAGCTCTTTTGAGCTGCTCATCAGCAACGTGCTAATTGCTGCTTTATGCTGTTCCTAACTAGATTAAGATTTTTTGAAGCTGAGTCTGCTGTTGAAAATCCAGCAGGGATCACCAGCCCTATCCAAACTCAAGTAGACTTGAGTCTCCTCCCCGTTAATGGAAGTTTTTGAGGTGGGATGTTGCTGTCCCTTTATAAAGCCCGCAGCCCTTTCTACACGGTTCACCAGGCGTGTGCTACTGGTTGTGCTCTCTGCCAGCAACCTTGTGGCTGTCACTGCTGCCACCGAGTCACCAGCACACAGATGGCCCCAGGCAGCCCCACAGCGCCAGGGTGAGACCCCATCCCTTGGGAGAGGTGGGACTGCTTCGAGAAACAGTTGCCTTGCAAAACCTCCTGGAAGGGAAAATAAACAACCAACACCACCCTTTTCCAAAGGGAGAAGCAGCCTTTGAAGGGTGGCCTGTTTAAAAATAATGCTGTATCCAGCTCAGCTTCCAGATAGAAGTCTGTGGCTTTGGAAAAAAAATTATTTTTTTTTTTTATTTCCATAAGAGAACCTCACACGCAGCTGCAGGAACTCGTAAGCTCTTCTGCTAGTAGTGTTTGTGGGGGTTTGTCGGGTTTTTTTAACACCTCGCTGAAGCTTTAACAACTAGCACAGACAACAAGCGGTTTATTGAGCTGTCCCTGGGGAGGGGATGAAGCACACACTATGCAGTCATGTTTTTTTCTTAAAAATAACCCAAAAAATACATCTAAATCCACCAGTGAATGAGAATTGCTGGAGCCAGCCACAGCCAGCTCTTCATCTCCAGCTCTGGCAGCCCGGGGCAAGGTTACTGCCACAGCTGCCCTTTTCAGGTCTGATTTATCCTGCATCCCATGCACTTCCCAGCACATCTCCCACAGCACTGGAGGATTTTAATGTCAGATGGCTTCTGATGTACGAAGGTAAATGGGAACAATGGATGGAGTGAGGAGCTGGGACAGCTCTGCAGTTTGTTTACATGGGCCAGGCCCTGCGAACAGCAGAACTGACTCAGACTCAAAGGCATTCCCCAAGTGTCCTATTCCATTCTTCTAGGAACAGGAGGAAGGCAGAGGGCCCTCACATCTGCTTTTCCTGGATTATGTCTCCTCCTGGCCTTGCACAACACATACACACCATGATATACACACCATCTCACCTGCAGCCCACCACTGCATTTGCCACAATTGGCTGGAAACTCCCACTACAAATTTCTCCCTAAATCAGGCAGCTGTGCAAGATACCACTCAGGAAAATGGCCCCAGCATGCTGGCAGCTGGGCCAGGCTGCTCTGACTCTACAGTCAGAGTATTGATCTAGTTTAATGCCAGGGAAGAGCAGCAGCAGCTCTCATACCCACTCCTTGAGGCTCTTGTCCATGCAACTTTAATAAAAAAACAAGCCTTTTTTTTTTTTTGTGCACCACTTCCATTTCATTCCTTAGCTCAGTAAAATGAAAGTCACCAAAAGCAAAGCATTAGGGAGGCTGCATGAGATCTACTTATTTTCCACCTGAAAGTGCCATAATTACAGTATCTAGAGAAGAGACAGGAGCAACTCTGGAGCAAACACAGGAGGTGCCAGGCAGCCCAGAACAGGGGATGAACTGCAGTGTGTTTGTCAGGATCTGACTGTGGAACAGGGCTGTGCAAATAAAAAGGGTGTTTGGCTAAGGATAGCTTCATTGTGAGCACAACTCTCCCTCTTTCCTTTGGAAAATTCTACACTCAAGCTTTTAGCCCACTGCTCCCTCACAAGTCCCTCAGTGTCACCTCCAGGTAACTGCCCCTTGGTACACACTGACCAGCTGCTGTCCCACAAGAGCAGGATTGCACAAAGACACTTCCACCCCTCTGAGCAGCCGTGCTGAGCTTTCCAACCCTCCAAACTCCCATCAGCACACTGAGATTAAAAGGAGCCCTGCTTCTGGAATCCTCCAACTTCTGTACAGAGGAGTTTGGCTGAACAGGAGAGTCCCACCCGCCCTGGATTCATGCCCTTCAGGACACTGCTGCTGAAAAGCTGCATGACTTGTCAAGCCCCAGTGCTGGAGCAACAGCCTTTGAGCAGAAAAGCCAACTGCAGTTCCTGTGAACTCGCTCAGACCAAGTTTTCCATCAACACCTCTGCTTTTGTGGGAAACTGAACTACACCTCTTGTGGATGGTGGTTTGAGGGAGGGGCTGGCTGGGTAGAGCAGAAATTGATTAATGGAATAAGAACAATTATGAATGGCACAGGCAGAGATAAAAAAATGCATTCAGAACGTCTTTAATCATGTAACACTAAAACTTCTTTACAGTGTCATGGCAATCTACACTTCACCATCTGCTCAAATTTGGTTCTGCCCCCATTTTTCAAATACAGAATAAAAATGACATTTTAAAACAGAACACATGGCTGCTTCTACAAGACTTCTTTGCTTCAAGTGATTATTTTTTGCCTGTTAGTCTTGTATAAACTTCTTAAATCAACATAATTCTTTCCATAAGAATTGTAAAAGATAAAAGCTCTCTCCTCCATACCCTCAGACCTTTGTGCCATGGTTAGGTGTGTCTTCTGCTTTAGGATGGCAGCTCTTCTTCCAGGCTCAGTATGCACCCCAGAAATGGAAAGTTGGGGGTAGGGGAAGAAATAATGAGTTACTTTAGGAGTATCTCAGTGTATTAAAGTTGAGAGGTTAGCTAGAAAGATTATATTTGGGGCAGAAGGATGCAACAAGCATCCATCAGGGCTTTGGAAGATATTCTGCACTACATTACACATGGAGGGATTTTGTTATGGACCATCAAAGAAACTGTTGCCACGAAAGACAGAAGAGACAATCTTCCCAGTGGAATTGATAGTGCCTTCGCTGTCCGAGCTGGACTCCGAGTCGCTGCTCCCCGAGTAGGCGCCCAGGCCAGGCAGGATCCCGATGCACACGGCTGCTGAGGGACAATGCACTGTGGAGCCTCCCACTGAGCTGCTCCCCAGGGGAACACAGGAGGGTTTTTCTGGAAGAGAGAAACCTCAGTCAAAAAGGGGACTGCAGGAAAGGGCTTTCAATCAGCCCAGGAGCCGCCACGTGTCACTCACCTGCTCTTCCCACATAAGCAGCGGATGATTCCAGGATTTAATTAAAGCATAAGGCAGCTTCATGCTGTAATAAAGTCATTCTGACAGGAAAGACTTGCTACCTCAGGGGATTTTTTTCTTCTCATCACTAGTTTAAGCCCACCTCTATGCTGGCATTACAGATGTTTTATTCTGAAGTTGTCAGTTTGATGCTTGTCAAGTACCAAACCCACTAAATAAGAGTAAATGGCTCTGCTTTGAGTAATTGAGTATTTTTTTTTGCAATATAACAGCATAGTTGAGAAAAAGTTTTATTCCATCATTCTGCTAGTCAACATCTCCCATCTTCCATGGCTAATTAATTATTTCTGCTGTTCTGAAAGTTTACTGAACAGAAGGAGATTCAGGAAGCGCCTTGGGTTGTCGTTACACAACTGCAGCTCGCCCGATTTGTGTCAGAGTTTCTTGACAGCAAGTCAATTGCAGCCCTGACAGCTAAAGCTGAAACACAACTTTATTTTTCTTCTAGTTCCCCACAATTTTCTGAAACAAATTGATTTCAGGATGGACCGAATCACTTCAGAGCATAAAGCTGAAGTGGATGTACACAAATACATGTAATGCTGCTGTGAAGAGGAAGGGGATGATCTGTTCTCTGTGTCTCCTGCCCACAGAACAAGCATTAGGCTTGAAATGCACCTAAGGACAATTCTATTAGTTATCAGATTGAACTCTTTCAGATTAATAAACTCTCTAAGGAAGGTGCACAGTCTCTATCTGTGGAGGCTTAAGAGCTCCTCAGACAAACATCTGTCAGGACTGGTTTGGGCAGGGGACATCCTGATAACCTGCAGAGGTTCTCTGCAGCCCTATTATCCATAGGTTAGCACCCAGCCTTACCATTCTACTGTTTAAAAGTGAACCATGCTGCTTTGCCCAGTGAAGGAACAGAAAAGCAAAGCCTCCATGAGACTCAACCCCAACTCAGTTGCTGTTCAGTGACAGACACACAGCTTCCCAAATGCAGAAGCTGGACATACCTTGATTCTTGTCGTCATGGTCAGTGTCTAGTTTCAACCTCTTCACACTGTTACCACCATCTGAACTGTGGAAAAAATAAGCTCTTCATAGATAACCACTTAATTACTGTGAAGTCATTGTTACATTTTTGCCTCAAATCCTACAGCAAATGCCAGCAGGGTCCCCTGATGACCATCACCATTTCCAACTGCCATTAACTGAGGCTCCTTGGGGAACACGCAGGATCCAAGGCAGCACCAACACCTACGCTACAAGTATCACTTGTTAACCTGGGAAAGGAAAACACCTCTTAGAGCTCCAGTCAAACCCCTTGCACAGCAGCCCAGAGCTGCCTATTCAGCAGGACGTGCCCAACAGGAGACTGGGAACGCCTACCTGAGCTTCAGACACCCACATGACCACAGCCTTGCACTTGTGCATTACCTTGCTTGCTGGTGCCAACATCCATGGCTTTTCCCTTGAAGGGATTCTTCCCCCTCCTTCAAGCACCTAGACAGCCTGTTCTAAAACATCTAGAAATCTTGCACCCAGCAAGCCCAGACAGTCTTACAGCAATTCACAGAAGTGTCCAGAAAGGCTTTTTCTGGGTCCAAAGTGGCATTGGGAGAAAGGGGCATGACTTGGACTTCTGACTCTTCAGAGCTTCTATAGCTCTCCTCTGTCACTGCTCAGGTTTTCCCCCCCTGCTTCTGCATGTTCCCAGTTCTAAGGCATCCACATAAACAAATGCTTCCCAGATTCAGCAGTGATGAACTGATGAAGCATGAGCATTATTATGCATTAACTCTTTTCCTCTTTTCGGTCCCTATCAGAACATGCAGTACAGATGAAAGGTTACTCTGTGCAGAGAGCTTTTAATAGTAATACATCCTTTACAGGAAATTACAAAGCTCAGGGAGCAGATGTTGAGCTCACACTACACTTGCTTTGGGCCACTTTGCAATAAAAGATAAGATGGCAAAAATAGAAGACTGCAAAGCAAGTCTGCAATGGCACTGACATGTCAGCTAAGATGCTCTCTTTAAACAGATGCCATCTGCAGACTTTAGAAGTACCATTATGCACATGCCAGCTCCTTTTCTACATCCCACTGGATTAAGTACTATTAGTTACAAGACAAAAACAACATTACTGGCTGCTTGTTACCAGCTCAAGGTAAAAGCTCAGCTTTTCTGCCTTCCCAGACCCAAACTATCACCCTGCTCCACAGACATTAGGTGGTGGAAGTGCTTACTTCACTTTTCAGACATGCAATTAACTGCTGTACTGGGAGCTAAACATCACCCTACAAGATAAGCTTCTAAAATAATCTTGTATTTTCTGAGACAATTTGAACACACTGAATTTTGAGATGTCAGTAATCATCTTAAGTATTAGATGATTCATATGTAGGAAATAAGTCTGGTCACACATGCCTGGTTTCTCCATAACCTGTAACACACCAGCAGCTGTGTCTGCAGGCCAAGATCAAAGCAGCAAACACATCACAAACCCAGCTGTCACCTCCATGGGATGGAAAGGGTGTTGATGTATCAGTACAAATCACCGAGGAACACAAAGTTTCTCTGATATCCTCAGGACCAAACTGGTACCAAACCGCTACACAAAGCTCCTCTCTTGTAGCCTTGTCTCCCCCATGCTCTCCATTTTAAACAATCCATTTTAAACACAGATAAAACTGGCTGATAAATTAGGCAACCTGAATGAAATTGCATTTGAGGTGACACTGATATCTACAAACAGACGTAAAATAGATTCCCTCAAACCCCAAGCAGGATTGCCCAAGCCTGGCACTCTGAAATGAAGATCCTACCCACTTGCTTTACACATGCTTATCTATTTGATTTGCTTCATGTTTTTCCCCACAGTTTGTGAGAGCCTATAGAAACAAGACTGGTCTTTTCTTATACCTTCCCCCTTTTTTCTTTAGGGCTAAGGTTTACACCTCACTCTCTGGAGGCAGTTTTGGCCTGTCTCCCTTTACACTGCTAACTGGGTTCCGTTCCTCATGAATTTATAGAGGTGTGAAACTAACCTTCTGTGTTTCACAGCTCCTGCCAACAGCTTTGCCTGAGAAAATTTGTTCTTGTTTTCCACTGACTTCATGGGCAATTTCTTCTCAGTTTCCTTCTTTGGGTCCATACTGACTCCCACTTTAGTGAGAGTACTGTGAATTAAGGGTTAAGGATCAACTGGGAAGGAACAGGGAGAACAGACATTTCCTCCCCGATATATTTAGCCAGCTCTGCTGACAGCAGCGACCGAAGTTCATTCACATATTCTATCAAAATGGACTTATTTGTAATGACATTGAGCTGATAGCTCCAGCCAAAAGAGAAGAAACTTCACCCTCTGGGGTCAGAGCTCTCTGAGGTATCAGGACCAGCTCTCCTGTGAAGATGCCCAGGCAGCAGCCTGGCTGTTGTGAAGCCAACACAAGCCAGAAAGGTGTAACACAAAACACCCAGCACCCATGAACATATCCACCATCCTGCCTTTTCCTAAAGGCCTTAGAAAAGCAAAAAGGTCAGGCTGGACCAAAACAAACAAACCAAACAGGCAATGCAGTACTTCCCCTTCTACAGGGATCAACACATTTGTAATTCAAATTTGCTGCTCCACGCTCTAATCCTTACCAGAAAAGCTGAGTAGCAATATATGCACTCACTTCCACTCCTCAAACCCTCTTGTTGCTGAGCCCAGCAGATTTCAGCCTAGCAAGACAGAACAGCTCCACTTTTCAGGTTTGGTCTTTAAACAATACCTTTTCAGCTCATCTCTCTGTAAGGACCATAAAGCTTCTACTGCTGGTCTCTTGGTTCTCTTGGACCAAGCCCAAGAGAAAGGAGACATTGATTAAAGGGAACTGTGGTCCAAGATTCACCCAAAAATGATTGCAACTGCTCAGAAAGGCTAAGTAGATTAAAATAGTGTTAGCAAGGTGGAATGAAGCTGAAACATATAATGATGTGAAGAAGCTTAAGCAGGTTCTGAGATGGGATAAGAAGGAGCCGGGTCTGTTTATTAGAGCAAACTCTGCACACACTGAACACACCTCCTTGTGTGATGAAGAGAAATCTGTCAAAGACCCTGTTTGCAGATGAGGCACCAGGAGAGTCACACAAAATTCTGCAAAAATTTTAACTGCACAGGCAAATTAACCTAGTTTAAAAGCATGTTTATAAACTCAAATCTAATATTCTAACAGCTTCTTCTCCAACTACAATTCCACAACCTGGAGCTTCACAGGTGCCCCAGTCACTGCAGACATATATTGGATAGTGAATTTCATGTTGATGATCATATATTTGAAGCCATAGCTTTTTTCCACTACTGAATATCTGAAAATCAAAAACTTTGCTTTGCTTTGAAATAACATCAGTGTCCAATCACTTTACAGACAGGAATGTTCAGATGCCATTTATTATTTGATTTTCCTAAAGACACAGCAGTAACCCAGACTGTTCTTTACTTCAACCAAAAGTCTTCCCAGCCCAAACCACTGTTCAATTTTATCTATCTTTGAGATGGCACAGGAGTGCCATCCTGTGGCTGTCTGGAGTCATCTGAAAGCTCCTTGTGCACGAACACAATTTGATGTTGCCACACAATTCTTCGACACACTGCAGTGTTCCACTGCCACATTTAGGTCCATTACATTGTTATATTCTAAGCCTGGCTGAGGAACTCAAAGACTTTTCTTTTAAAAGATACCAAATTACAGACTTTTAGCTTCCATCCAGGATAGCATTCTCCTAAAACTCCTCAACTAGAAAGGCACAGCACATTTTTAGTAGATATCTTATACATCCTGCTGTCATTAGCAAATGTAATGCTGTACCCAGCCAAGAAGTGTTCCCTCTCAGGAAGACAACATTAGAAACAAACCTCTCAATCTTAAATATCAACTGCACTAAACAAGCTGTCCTTCAGTAAAGCCAGCTTCTTGGAGGGGGACTGTTCCTACATTTAGACAGGAATGAAGACAAGATGATCTTGTTCTCAAATACTTCTTGGAAATTGCTAAAAAAATATTTGTAAATCTTTATCTGAACAGGGGGGTCTGGATAGGGTAAGGAACAAACAAATCTAGTTATTCATGCAGGAGAAAGAAAAAATCCTATTCATCCATGCATATGAATTTCTTATGCTCAAGAATACATTAAAATATTCCAAGGCCTATTTATCCTGAAGATGTATAATTTTGTGATTGTTCAACCTCAAAAATTAAGAAAAAAAAAAAAATCTCTGTACTTGAATATTGATGCTGCTTTTACCATGAAATTAATGCCTCTGGGTAGCTTCAATTAGATGTTATATCAGAAAAAAGAGCAAATAACGAAATCCATTAGGTTGACGTTCCTCTTATTAATTTGGAAGAGCACTTGAACAGCACCTATAGATGCAGCACAGTGGTTTTTGTCACTGCAGTGATAAACCATTAGTAACAACCTGCAGAAGCAAAAAACACTTTTGCATTTCAGAACACTGCCAAAAATTTCAAAACACAAGTCATTTTGCTCTGAGGTTGCTTGAAATATTATGGTTAAATAAAAAGAATTTAAAAAGGAAATTAAATGGGCAACACTTTTGATTTTCTCATGAGATGAGGTGACTATAAAACATTCTCCCTTCCTCCACCCCATCAGCAATAAGTTCTACAGTTTAATTCTTACAGCAAGACTTTGGATTCAGAGCCACCAATATTACTAAGAGTGCAAAGACTGAGGTAAGATGGCCTGTACATCTTGATCAGGCTGTTCAGGGATCTGTGTGTTATGTGGCTAATTCAAGGCAACTAAATTCCCTCCAGGCTGGTATGGCTCACCCCAGATGTACGTGACATAACGAGAGCTGTCAGCTGCTTCCACAGCACAATCTCACACTGCACAACCTTGGATCAGCCAGCCCCGCGAGCAACCACCACCGAAACTAAATATATCCCACAAATATCCCATGATTAGATCCAGCAAATCAAGAAAATACTCCAAAGCAATCAACTAACTGCAGCCTATTTCTGAAGTGAAAAAAATGCATCAGGATTGCTTTTTCATAAACGCATTCCTGAGCTAATTGAGATGCTCTTCACAGGACACATGCTCCAAACTGTAATTCATTGACTAACACAAGATAAGACCAACCTTTGTAGTATCAGCCCTATTCAATTTTATTTGCTGACTGGTTTTGGTCTCCTCCTTGTATCCACAAGCTCTCTCATTTATACTAAAGCTTCCCTGAGAATTTGTGTTTTGTTCACCCATAACTCAAAAGCCAGAGACAAGGAAACCATCAGATGGTGCATAAGTTTAGTAAATCTCAAAAAACCATTTTGCTTAGCACTGAAATTCTCAAATCATTCCAACCTCCCTTGATTGGCACTAATTAGAGAGAAAAAGCATCCTATATGATTTTCTAGCATATCTACAAGAAAATTAGGCATTTAACAGCAAAGCCAAACTATCTTGTTCTTAGTCCTGCCTACAAGTATGTATTACGCAAAGGAGCCAAGACTCCAAGGGCACTGACTTCCCAGAAGAAAGTCAGCACATCTGCACAGATGTATTTAAGTTCTCATCCTGCAGGTATCAGCAGGGGAGAAAGTATCTAATACTCCAAAAAGAGTAACAGAGAGAGCAATCCATACATTATTTCAAATAGGTATGTTAAAATTAGACAATATACAGTTAAAAAAAAGAGCACGTAATTTTCCATAAGAAGACAAACGCAAAATATCAGAAATAACACACTGGCTTTTCTTTATGTTCCCTTTCTCTTTTTAGTGATGCTACTTCATTACCTCAATAACAGAAAAAACCAAACCCCTAAACAATGGAGGGGGAGAAGGAAATAAAAGTATCAAAGAAGTGGGAGTTGAGGGGGGACTATGAAACACTGCAGTGGTCTATCAAAGCTACAATGAAACCATTAAACTTTGAAAGTGTATCATTATACACCTTCTGTAAAGCAGTTTTATAAAAAAGAATGTCAACTGACAGAACAAACTACAGCCCACTCTTACCCTCCTCTAGGTAACCACCAGTCATTTCAGTGCAAAGGATATTCTGTATTCATTTAGTTCTTTCAGCTCTTCTTCCCTTCGTTGCTTTTCTAGTAGCTCTTGCTGCCGAGAAACCTCATCAAGGAAATGCGTCTCATCTTCATCTAAGCCTCTTACCATATTTTCTGAATAAAGAAAGAAGAAATTTTTTGGTTTCAGACACCAAGTCTAAGTCTGTCTCCTCCAAATGCTCTTAAACCAACCAATAACTAAAAAACCACACTACTTCTTCCCTCAAAAAAGAAAGTACATTTTCTTACAGCAAACAGTTCCTACCTAATTAGTTTTAACACCTGTTCTAAAAATTTAAAAATAAGTAGAAGCAAGACAACTCCTAATTTCTAAATAAAAACAATTTTTTTCTAAACATGCTACGCTATTTTAAGGAAAGTATATGCTAGTGCAGCAGGAAGGTCTTTTATTTCCTGTTCTGCAAATGTTCAGTGCCTCTTGAGCAAATTATTTAATTAGAATGACAATAAACAGTATGCTTTAGAAAGACCAAATCTTGCTGTTTGTAGTCATTATCAGAAATCTTAGCCCAATCATCCCCTTTAGTCTTCATTAAAGTTTAATTCCATAGGAGGATTTTTTAGGCTTTTACATGAAGTCACTATATTTTTAATCTTCACCCACACAGGAAGGCCCTAGTCACTTTGAGGGCAAACTAGGAAATCCATTTTTACTGATAACTGACAAGCTTGTGTCTGACAGAAAAGCTCTGGAAATCAATTATTATCTGAGGTTACTTTATAAAAGCCAATCTCTGTTCCTTCCAACTCATTCAGAGCTCATTCATAAAGCTTTAAAGAGTAACTTGTAGCTCTCACTGCTACTGCTGAGGGTCCCTTCAGAGAGCAAAAGTAGTGAAACTCTGGACATTTTTTGAAGCAAATGACATGAATTAATTCCATTTTCTGCCTGCCTCATCTGCAAACTAAGAGGAGCAGCCACTGAGGTCCTTTGAGCTGAGGTTTCACTGAGGTTCCCTCTCAGGCAGTCTGCAATAGATTTTGTTCTCCAGGTTAGCTGGTATCTGATATTCTGCTGTGGCTGCCTTAAAAGCAGAAGTGGGTTTACTTCTCAGGGCTACTTCCCATTCCAGTACTTGGATTAGCAGAGCAAAGGTGCTGCAGATCTAATACACCTGGGCAAGAAAAACTATTAATTTACACAGTTATTAGAAGCCCTTCCCACTCAGGCTGACAGCAGTCAGTCAGCTGGAGACTACCATGCATTAGAGCTGCCATCTGTACTTGCCACTTTTCAAAGGGCTTTTCTATTAAAACCAGAAATTCAAACATCAATAGAAATTAGGTTCCCATTCCATTAGAAGAGTCAAACATCTACTTCTGAAGAATCAAAAGATGTAAATTTACTTCTTCCAAATCATAATCTTAAGTCTCAAATCACTTTCAGTCAAACAATTATGGCTTGGAAATGTAATAGCTGCTCTAACAGAATTTCTTTAATTGATTCAAGCATGTGTTAAAGCATCAGTTCAAAACTCACAAAACCACGATACTTTCACGCTTTTTCATGGATTGCTATCGAGTTTGTTTGTTGTTTTTTTTACATTATATGCAATATAAGCTCAGTTTTCAACACTTTACAGGCATGCAGCTTGATAACTACAAACATCTTTTGAGTTTTGCATGTGTGCAGTGTTGCCCCAGGGTAAAGAACGTATTTCTTTAAAAATCCAGGATTTCAATAGTACTCTGCTGAAGCCTTTGTTTCCCTCTCAGAGAGGGAGGCAAGTCACACAGATATGTCCTTTACTCAGAAGTTGTGCACAGCTGTTGCATACAACACATGCAGTTTGCTGCTGGTGCTGCTTACTGAATTTAAATTGCTCCTCAAACTCCTGCTGCTTCTTTTCTCTCTGTTCCTGGAGCCTTTCATACAACGACCGTGGGTCATATGCCTCCTCTGGGCATTCTGAAAGGAACAAATCAGGAAGGGAGACCATATGTTAGAAACATAAACCACCAATAGTTCTGTTCCTTCATGTAAAAAATCCTTTAGTTATAGAAAATAAAAAGGCATTACTTTTTATTTCTATTTTCCACAAAAGTGAAAAATTCACAGATCTTTTTCCTACAATTTCTAAAATTTAGCCCATACCTTTTGGGTCCTCAGGTTTTCGGACCTTTTCCCATTCCTCTTGCCTTCTCTTCCGTCGCTCCTCGAGCTCTGCTTCAGACACGAACCTCTTGTTAATCACGAGGTCAGCAGTACCATCTCCCCCATCCATTGTGGAACAGTGTCTCCTAGAAACACAATATGCAAAACATCAGGAGTCTGATTATGCTTTTCTGTGAGTGAATTATTAAATATCCTGAAAAACAGACCTGCTGCCCTTACAATAACTTCAGCTCTCTAAAGAACACTGCATAGTAGGCACTGACTGAGACACAGACTCACTGCCTAAGTGCTAAGACTAATAAGCATCATCTATTACTCCTTCTTTACTCTTTTCATCATTATCAGGCTGTTTTTCTGAAAGTCATGATTTAATGGGTTTACTTTGCTTAAGTATTTTAAAAAAATAAAATTAAACATCCTCACCTACACTCTTACCCTTTTATTTCTGTTCCTCCATGTCTGTTCTGAAGAGAGACAAAGCAATGGCAAAACATCAAATCCCAAGTTCTTTTAGACCAACCAATATGAAAATTTGAGAAAGCTTGCCTGTTTTCAGTTGTTGAATGCGTGTATTTAGAAGTGATTAACAGTGAGATTTCAGAAATTAGCAGCTGTTCTGGTTTTGGCTGGGACAGAGCTAAACTCCTTAGTAGCTGGTACAGCTCTGTGATTTGGGTTTGGAGTGACAATAACATTGATAACACTTGCAGTTTTAGCCAAAGCCAAGGACTCCTCAGTATCTCACGCTCCAGCAGCGAGGAGCTACACAAGAAGCAGTGAAGGAGCGTGGCCAGGACAGAAGTCCTGAATTGGCCAAAGGGATATTTTTTAGAAGCATGACCCCAGAACACTGTGCCCGGCATATAAACTGGGGGAGGGAACCTGGCTGGGGGTCAACAGGTGAGTGAGAAAGGAAACTCCTCATGGCTAAAACAGAGCTGGAGTTACAAAATGAGCAGCACTTTCCCTGGAGAGAACATAGCCCCTTCCCACACAGTGCAGCCATCCTCTGCTTCAAGATTTCAGTACCAGGTGCAAAGTGGAGATGCTCCAAGTAGTAGACCTAACAAGGAAACTCATGGTCTTGACACCTGTAAGCCCAGGATGAAACAAACTGCTTCTGTAAGTCCTAGGTGTCTCATTGCAGAATTATTCTGCCAGCTCTGTGCTACACAACGGAGCCCTAATGCCTGTTTTTGTTTCAAGCCTGTACATCAAAATTGTGCACAGAAGTACAACATAAACACAACATACAGAGCTGTTCATTTAAAGACATGCACACATAACTTTCTTCTACTTCATTATCTCCCTGATACAACTGCAGCAATTAAGGACTGCAGATGACTGCCCACAGTTCTGCCAATTACTATTCATTTGGGATCTCATCCTGTCTGCATTTCAGCACAATAGAGATCCCAGAACAGTTACTCTTCCAAAGAAGAAGGGATGCAGTAACTCAAATAAGGGAAAAAACCTGTTTATCATCCTTCAAGGACTCAATCCTGCAGGAAGTCCTGAAATCCTTACAAAACCCGATAGTTTTGTGGGGTATTGCTTGTAACAAAAATTAAAAAATTGAGGTCTCAGGAGAAATTCAGCTTAGCGCACTGGACTAATATTTGTTACAGCAGGATGCATTATTAAGGTCAGTATTATTAAAAGAAGATAAAACAAAAGAATTCTCTTAAGAATTCCTGGGGACAGGAAGGACAGATCCAGGGCTGGTGATCTTCTCTTTTTTTAACTTTTCTTTATTTCTTTTTTTAATATCTAACCAAAAAATCTACCCTAAGACAAGTCCACTTTCCAGAAAGCATGGAACACTTGCTCTTCGAGTGTAATTTCTGAAAGTGGCTCAAGCTGGAAACCTGCAAAGATAAAAATCAAATCTCACTGCTGAATACAGGTCCTGATCAGAAGGCCAGCTTTCCTACCCAAATGCTGCATAAACAACATAATTTGTTTTTCCATTTGTGTCATCTCAACCTATATATTTAGAGAGGAAACAAAAGGTTCCAATACAATGGTGACTGAAAGTAATAAAAGCAAACTGAGAGAGAGGAATTCTACAAGAACACAGTAAGCTCTGGGGAATAAAGCCTTCAACAGCAAACCATCTGGATCAGTCAGTTCACTCAGACAATATATTTTAAGATACAGGAAGTGAATTAACATTTCATTATGGCCTAATTAAAGGTGCTGCATTAAGATGCAGCAATGATGTTTTCAACACCATCCTGAAAACTGGTGTCTGATACTGACAGCCCCATCATGGGGAAGAGATGCGGGGGGAGAAAAAACCCACCAAGCAGCATCAGATTAAAGTCCACTTGCACTTATAAAGTTTGCTAATCTTGTTGTATTCTTTGCCCTCTCCCATCTGAAGCAAACACACACAAACCAGACCAGACAAAAAACACGCACTTGGTAACTTCTCCCTATTTATCTATGTTTCCGTCTGGTGACTGTATTCTAGGGCTATGCTGCCACTGCAAGTGACAGAAGTTTGTTACAGTTGTAAACCGCAGGTTTGTATAATACCAGATGGCAACACGCCCAGGATCAAAAAACCTCCCAAACTTCATAACCCTTGCCACCACCTAGGCTGGGACAGATGCAGAGCAGCGACGGCGTCTTGGGTACCCGATTACCAATACATTCAGCCTCATTAAATAACAAAGACTACTTACCTACCCATTTCATCACCCCGCCACTGAACCGAGCCGGGCAGAGCTCCCCACACATCAAATAAGCGCTGCGTGCGGAGCCTGGAGCCGCCCCGGAGACGGAGGGGATGAATGGCTCCCCACGAGCCTGAGACCGCCCCCGGGCCCCGCTTCCTGCGATGCTCCCGCAGCTCGGTGCGGGGAACCCTCCCGGCCGTGCCGGGCTCGAGTTGCTCCGAGTCCTCACTGCGACCTCCTCTCCCCACCTTCCCTCCAGCCCCTCGTCCCGGGAGCGGCCCCCGGCCCG